CACAGCAACAGCGTTTAACAACAACACCGCCATCCTACACCTGTTCAACTTGCACAACTACTTACGTATCCACTCATAAATGACACTGTTTATTATGGTTGCAGGATCATCTACATAATAGGACTGGTCACTGTTGCTTTCTACTGTTGGGTACCTCCATGGCCTTCCTCGACCTTGCTCGTGTGCTGACGCCTCTTGCTCGTGTGCTGACGCCTCTTGGCTTGTGTGCTGACCGCCTCTTGCTTACCATCTTGCCTTTCACCAAGTCAGGACACACCTGTTTCCTGGTTAAGGTTTTTCTCTTGCTCCCCTTCCTGCTCTTCGTAGCCATCAAAGAGTCTGTGTATAAAACTTTTCTTGATTTTTTTTTATTAACAAGTCATCATATTCATTATTTGACCTTTTGTGATTAACTTAATTTACTCAGCATAATAATGCCCTCCACGTTGGAAGATGTTTTGTATATATACTTTTTTTTTTTGTCGTTAACTGAAACGGCATACTTTTCCACTGTGTATGTACCATAATTTGTTTACTCCTCCAGGTTGATGGGCCCTTAGGTTGTTACTTTTCAGAAATGACATTGTCCCTCCCCCCCCCCAGTCTGTCTGTACTTTCTCTTTACACTTCTGGAGAAGTCTTTTGATGTACGTGCTGATGCACTTTTAAGGACGCCCTGTCCTCTTGTTATCTTCTGCTGTTTGTGACTTTTTTTTAATGTTTGATGGACTATTTAAGTCATAACTGAGAGCTTCTAAGTTTTTCTTTCTTTTTTTTTCCTTTGATGACTTTTGTAGTTTTAGGTTTTTAAGTCTTTGATCTGAGTTACACTATGAGATATAAATCTCTTTTTCTACAAATGGAAATCCACTTTTGTTGGCACCATTTGTTAAAGAGCATGCCTCCTCCCTTTTAATGGATCTTGGCTTTGTGGAAGATCAGCATTCTGCAGGTAGATCTACTTCTGTGTTCTCAGTCCTGTCCATCTGTGTGACCTTAGTAAGCTCTCAGTCAGTCCCTCTCCTCCTCTCGGTGCTGTCGAGGGGAAACCAACTCATCACTGACCCTCCACTAGCTGGTTCCCGAGGGGTTTTCCTGGGAGAAGAGTGCTCATCTTCGCAGGTGCATGATTCAGACGACCAGAAAGGTGCCCCCTTTGGGCTCCCAGCACAACCCCGTATGGACCACACGCCCAGGGAGGGTGGGGAAACCTTCTGCTGTGTTCTGCTTCTGTAGTACTTTATCTGGGCTCTTGTTCCTTTCCAAATAAAGTTAATAATTAGTTTTTCTCTTTAAAGAATGGTGATTGTGATGGTAACTTAGCTACAAACTCAAAATAGAATGTGGAGTATCCTCTCTTGCAGCAAACAAAATAAAAGAGAGATCATGGTTGAGAATTTTCCAAGTTACTTGATGTACCATCAGAAATAAAGATGTAAGAAAATTCCAGATTTTTTTTAAAAAAAAGAAGTGATGGAATCTAGAATTGCATTATATTGACTGATTGATCACTTTGGATAATTTTGACACACTGTGTTAAGTCTTCCTGTCCATGAGAATGGTATGTTCTTCATTTATACAGGTCTCTCTTATTTTCTCAAAGTAGGGTTTTGTCTGCTTATTTCTTTTACATTCTTGGTTAGGTTTAGTCCTAAATAGTTCATCTTTTCAGTGACTATCGTAGATGATACGGTTTTCCTAATTTCCTTTTCAGAGTTCTTTTTGTCACGATAGTGAAATCTAACAGATGTATGTATGTTAATCTTGTATCCTGCTACTTTGCGGAATCTTTTCATTAATTCAGTAACGTTTTTGGAGACTGGGGTTTTCTGTGCATAGAATAATACCCTCTGCACATAGAAATCCTCTTCTTCTTGCTAGCCCGTTTGGATGCCATTGATTTATCTTACTTGTTTCCTGGCTGTAGCAGGACTTCCGGCACAACATTGAATAAGAATGTGGTGATACAAGGTGTTCTTGGCTGGTTTCCAGTCACAAAGGTAATGCTTTGATGGTCTCACTTTTGAGAAAAATGTTGGCTGTTGAGTTTGTGTATATGCCCTTAATTAATGTACGGAATTTCCCTTCTATTTCTATTTTGCTGGGAGTTGTTATTAGGCAGAGTTGTTAAGAGTTTATCAGATACCTTTTCTGTTCCAACTAATATGATTACATGGTTATTTTCCTCTGTTTTGTTTATGTGGTTAGAGGTGTTGTTTTTTGTGGGGGCTTTTTTTTTTGCATTTTTCCCCCTTTTTTATTATTAATTTCAATGAAAATTTACAGAGACTTTGGATTTCCATTCATTCACTGTTGCACTTTTCTCCCCTCCCAACCCTCCCCCCTAGTACACTACCCTCTTGGAAAAGTAAAAGAAGAATTATTTCATTGTTTTACAATCTTTTCCCCCAGGTTCACTCCACTATACAGCCTTCGCTCTGGACTCCTGTCATGACAAAAATACCTAATAACATATCCCTCTTAAACAGTTTTCGCCCTCATCTGTTTCAATGCAGTGTACATTATTGAACCCATCTTTCTCAGTCTCCCCCCAACCCCAAGGTCAGTCCTCCTTTACAACAGTGGCACCATGCAGTATTTGTCCTTTTGTGACTGAGATACTTTACTCAGCATAATGTCTTCCAGGGTCACCCATTTTGAATAATATTGCATGAGTTCCTTGTTTTTCAATGCAGTGTAGTATTTCATTGTGTGAATATATCACAGCTTCTCTATCCATTTGTTTGTTGATGGGCACTTAAGTTGTTTCCAGCTCTTTGCTATTGTGAACAAAGCCACGATAACATGAGTGTGCGTATATCTGCTTGGATGTCAGTTATGGTCTCTGGGGTATTTTCCCAGTAGTGAAATTCCTGGGTCAAATGGTATCTCTATTTGCAACTTTTTGAGAAAGTGCCATACCGCCTTCCACAGTGGTTGCACCATTTTACACTCCCACCAACAGTGAATCAGGGTTCCAGTTTCTCCACAACCTCGTCAGCATTTGTTGCTTGCTGTTCTGTTAAGTTTTGCTGTTCTGACTGGGGTGAGATGGTATCTCATAGTTGTTTTGATGTGCATCTCTCTAAGAGCTAGGGATTTTGAACATTTCTTGGTGAAGTTTCTGTTCATATCCTGTGCCCATTTTTATATTGGATTATTTACCTTTATCTTGTTGTGGTGTATGTGGTTAGTTTTATAATGTTGAACACATCATCTTTGTATACTTAGTATGACTCTCACTTGATGATGAGGGGTTTTTATTATCACTTTATTTGGATTCTCTTAGGATCTTGTTGAGATTTTTACACCTATGTTCATGAGAGATACTGATTTGTTATTTTCCTTTTAGTTGTATCTTTGTATGGTTTTAACATCCAGGTTGTATTTGCTTTGTGGAAAGAATTCAACACTGTTCCGTTGTTTTTGTTTGTTTGTTTGTTTTTTGTGTTCTGGGATAGCTTCAGAGAGTTTGTGTCAGCTTTTCTCTGGGTATTCAATAGAATTCTCTAGTGAAGCCATCTGAGCCAGGGCTTTTCATCATCGTTGTTGTGAGTTTTTATTTTTTTTTAATTTTATTATATTATTTTGTGTGTGTGCATCTTCAAGTTGGATGACTGGTACAGGAGGAGACTGTCCCTTCTCTAGCAGGTCAGCTGGTGGATTCGAACCACACACCTGCAGTGAAGCTTCTTGCCACTAGGCCACCAGAGCTCCCTGTGAGGTTTTTCTTTTTAAATGACATTTTCAGTTTCTTCTTTTGTTACAGATCTTCACATTTTCTATCTCAGTGTGTATTAGTTTAGATATGTGGTGTGTTTCTAGAAGTTTGTTCTTTTTCTAGGTTTCCTAATTTCTTAAGAATACAGTTATTCATGGCATTCTGTGATCATCCACTTTATTTCATTTGGCTCTGCTGTAATTCTTCTGTAATGCTGACATTTTCTCTACACCTCCCCTCAGCACACACACACACTGAGCAGGGGCGGGGCGGCATTTTGGTGGAGATTTGGGGACTGGAGGTGTGGCCTGAGGTTGGGAGGGGAGGGTGTCACAATCAGGAAGAGGAAGGAACAGGAGCTTCCTGGGTGTGTGGTGGCGTGGGCAGATTGAGCGTGATAAACCTGTCACATCTGGGACAGCTCAGGACCTGGCCTCCAACCTGCGCTAAAACAAAGATGATGTTGTGAGAGATGAGTTGGTCATGATAAGTTAGCTGGGGGTTGGATAAACCTTGGTGGGATGACAGGAAAGGCTCTTAGAGGCTCCAGAAGCAGGCGTAAAGGCCTTTTGAGTACTCAGAGACCTGAAAGTGGGGGCCCCTGAGAAGGTACATTCCTTAGCCCACAGATTTCTTGTCCAGAAAATGGGGCCAGAGCCAGCGGTGACCCTGGCGGTGATCCTGACTGGGAGCAGAGAGCTGACTCCGATCCTTACTTCCTTGACCTTGGCTCGTTTATGACTCTCTTGTGGATTTCATATCCAGTCTCTCACTCTCTCCAGACCCTTGTGTTGAGCGGGCAATGTCATCATCTCTAAAGTGCCCATGGAACACTGAGCATGCCCGGGGCTCTGCCCAGGGCATGGGGTTCAGGGGCACTGGTGGCAGAGGGAAGGCTGGTCTCTGGGAAGGGGGCCAGTCTGTCTTGGGTGCAGTGCTGAGTATGGAGATGCTGTGCTGTGGGGCCCAGGGACAGTGGTTACCTGCTCTGTACCCCAGTGCCCCCCCTGTAAGATAGATGCAGCCAGTGATGCCCTTCCAAAGTACCACCCAGGTGGACCGAGGCAGCCCTCTTAACACTGATAAAAACACTCGGTGCTGAGAGGGCCCAGAGGTGAAGCCTGTCAAACACTGGAACATGGTCCCAGGTCCTCAACCAGCCCGGGTGACCCCATATGAGAGCGGGGGTGGGCGGGATCGGCACGGCCAAAGTTCCTTAGCAGATTTGCAGGTCGCTGTCCTGGATGGTACTGAGCGTGTCCTTGTTGCTTGTTTGCAGAGATGCTGCAGTTCGTCAGTAACCAGGTGGGCGAGTTCCCGGACTTGTTCTCTGAGCCGCTGTGTAGCTCCTTCCCCGGCAGTGGAGGATCCAGCAGCGGCAGCGGCAGCGGCAGCAGCACTGGTGGGGGCACGGTCAGCCCTGGCGGAGCCGTGGAGCCCCCCATGCAGCGGTCTTTCAGCCAGGTCCCCTTGCCTGCCTTCTCTCCCTCAGCCACCTCTCCCCAGACCCCAGCACTACAGGTCAAGGTCCCCCCGACTCCAGTTCCCACCCCGCCAAGGGCCGCTCCTGTTCTTCAGCCCCGGCCCCAGCCCCAGCCTCCACAGCACACTCAGCTGCCGCAGCAGACCGTGGTGGTCAGCCCAACCTTCAGCACCGCCCCCCAGACCAGGATCATCCAGCAGCCCCTCATCTACCAGAACGCAGCCACCAGCTTCCAAGGTGCCCCAAGGATGGGTGGTCGGGGGGGTTATGTGCCCACTCTCAGACAGCAGATAGCCCTGGCCCACCAGGGGTCACAGGCGACATCCCTTGGGCCCTGTGTGAATGAGTATGATGAGTGATGAGAACCATACCCAGGACACCCCTGCTGTCTCTCTGTACAAACTAGAAGGTCCTGTTGTCCTGCTTTGATGGCACTTATTCAAAGACACCAACAGGCAGAATAGTTGGAGGGTCATCCTGGTAACTAGATGAAAATGAGGCTCAGAATTTCCCACCTTTTTGCTAAACAGTTCCTGGTTCTTAGCACCCGTAGCTGTGACCCCTCATTCTGTAGACATCTGAGCAACCTCTCTGGCGACAAACGTCACTGGGTCCAGTGCTCCGTCACCACCAGTGGCCTGTTCTCTGTGAGCTGCTGCAGCCCAGCCTGAGGCCAGGGTGGGATTAACAGAGCTCCTCAGTGGCTTTGAGCATTTAGGGGTGGGGTCTGAGACAGCCATCCCCAAGGACACGCTCTTCCTGGAAGAACGAGGCACTGCTGGCGTAGAACATCTGGCCGCCTTGCTAGGAGTCATTTGCTAAGCAGCTTCCCTTGCTCCCCTCCGCACTTGTGCCCACAGATGTGGATACAGCCCTTCCGGGACATTCTTGTTAGATAGACCAGCCTGTAAATGGTGTGCGCATCTTCTCAGCAAGTTCGGGCTCCTTGTTGGGGTTCTTGGTTGCTGTGGCAACACGAGCAACTAATGTGCTACATGACTCTTTCTTCTCCCAAGTCCTTCAGCCTCAAGTCCAAAGCCTGGTGACATCCTCCCAAGTGCAGCCAGTCACCATCCAGCAGCAGGTGCAGACGGTCCAGGCCCAGCGGGTGCTAACACAGACAGCCAATGGCACCCTGCAGACGCTGGCCCCCGCCACAGTGCAGACGGTGGCCGCCCCCCAAGTGCAACAGGTCCCGGTAAGTGTTGGGAAGAGACCCCTGAGGACATTCGTGGGGGATGCCAGTGGGTCCCTGGTGGAAGACGTGGTCTGCGTCTAAGAATGGCCAGCCACGAGGTACAAGGAACAACATGTCAGGCTGGCGAGGGACACCTTGGCCCCAGGGTGCCACTGTGAGCACTAGGTCTACAGACCTGGCTGAGATGCCTCGGCAGCTCTCCATGGACCTGCATGTCCACACACTGAGTGAGGTTGTTAATGGTCTTACACATACCCTGGGTATAAAAATCTCGTGGAAGACATACAGGATGCATTAAACATAAAATGGGACAAAATGGCACCTTTCCATTGATTTGCTTCCCTGTATTTTTCAATGTTTTCTATGGTAAATGCTGATCATGTATTACTTTTATTATAATCAGAAAAATTTCAAGTCCTATATTACATCATTCATCTGACAGTTTGTCCTTCTTTCATGGCTTGCGTGTTAACCATGATGCCGGAATCTCTACCATGGATACTTCACATAGCGTCATCGTCACCCTTATTTTGTATTACATTTCCTTTCTCCTCACTTTTCTATTCATTAATTTTGTAATCTCCTCTCCCTCCCTCCCTGTCCCTGACACCATGTAAAAATCAGTAATTCTGTGTATAAACCAGCTTTTTATGATAATAACCTTATACTTTAGTAGAGCTTCTGTGACTGATTCGTGTCACTCACTGTAGTTTCCCTTATTTTCATCCATGCTGTGCAGTAGTGTTTCACTAATACTTTATCATTCTTCAGTGTTGCATAGTACTCCATTGTGTGAATGTACTATGCAGAGTCTTTTGCCATTTTTCTGTTGATGGACATTTAGATTGTTTTCATCTCTTTGTCCTTGTAAATAGTGCTGCAGTGTGCGTGTATCTGTTTGTGGTGCAGTTTTTATTTCTTTAGAATATATGCCTAAAGAAATTACTGGATCAAATGGTATTTCTAATCCCCCCCAGCTTTTTAAGGAAGTGCCAAATGGACATCATGGTTGCCACATTTTACATTCCCACCAGCAATATATAAAAGTTCTGAGATCACCACACCCCCTCCAGCATTTTTTTGGTTTGCTGTCTTGTCAAACTTGACCCTTTTGCTGGAATGAGATGATCTCTCATTGTTTTTTACTTTCCTCTCTCTAATATATTTGGTGACCGAGTAGTAAGAAGCTGTGCTGCGTTCCCAAATGCATGTGGTTTGTATCCACCAGTTGCTCCATGGATGAAGGATGGCCACTCTCCTCCTATGCACTTTACTGCCCCTGAAAATCCAGTGGAGGGTCATCTGTGAATCAATTCTGGGTTGACAAACAAACACAGCAACAAGAACATTTCTTGGTGTGTGTGTTGGCCATCTGAATGTAGTCTTTCGTAAAGTGTCTTTTCATTTCTTCTGCCTATATTATAGTTGGGTTATTTTCTTCCTGTCAAGAGTTTGAAGTTTTTTATGCATTTTAGAGGAAATCTCTTGACAGATATATCAGTGCCAAATATTTTCCCCCAGCCTATAGGTTCTCTTTTAAACTCTTTGGAGAAATCTTCTGATGCCTTTTCAGAGGCTGTAAATCATCGGAGGAAACTGCCCATCTTTCTCCCTCAGAGCCTCTGCCTTTAGGTTGACTCTGCAGCTCTTGAACAACTAAGCCACCAAAGCTCCCTTTTTACGACAGAGCATGGTGATGTGGCTCCTAACTTACTGGGCCACCAACTGAAAGTAGTTCTGCAGAAGAAAGATAAGCGGTCTTCTTCCACAAAGATTGATAGCTTAAGAGACCCAATAGAGGGTTACTGTGAGTCAGTACCCACTCAGCGGCTGTAGGCTTGGTTTTTTGGGTTTTGTACACATGGACCATACAAGATGGAATTCACAGAAATCAAATCAACTACACTGTGGAGGAAAACAGGGGGAAAGCTCAGAATCATCAGGCCAAACATTCCACCAGTTGCTTTTATGCAAGTTCAAGCTGACCCTGAAGATTAAAAGAAACCCATGAGAGCCGAAGTACAACCTTGAGTTTTACTCTGCATTTTTATTTAAAGGTGCACCTGAATATAGAAACAACCTCAAGAATAAATTTGACCCATTAAACACTACTAACTGAAGAGCAGGTGAGTTGTGGAATGCTGCCAAGTCATCCTGAAGAGAGCACTGAAATGACAGGAGAGAGAGAAAATGCACATGAGAGCTAACTGAAGAGAAGAAACAATAACGTAAGAGACGTGGTAGGTGTTTTCCAGGGGAGACTGGAGAAAACAGAATAACGTAGTATAAGAAAATGTGCACAGACCTGGAGCTAGAGACCAAAAGAGAAGACCCGAAGAAAGAATTGAAGCCTAGGGTGCAGCATGTTCAAAGGTTCTGTGGGCATCATCTCTCATACTTTAGACACGTAGCTAAGTGAGGCTGTTCCTTGGAAAGGAAAGGTGCATCATGCTTGGAAAGATAGTCCGTGAAGGAGAGGAAGACCCCTAATGAGCTGGATTGATACAGCGACTTCAACACTGGGCTCAAATGGGTCGGATGACAAGGATGACATAACAGGGCAGGGGTTGGGTCGGCTGATCATAGGGTTGTTAGGAGTCATACACAGCTCAACAGCACCTACCAGGAGCAAATGGGCAAAATAGTACAGACACATCCAAAAAATGGAAGAAATACACAGTCAGCCATAATATAAAAAATTGACCACCGTTCAACCTGTTCAGGAGTTAATATCAATCAAGAGCTAGTGATATTGTAGGAAGATGCACAGGCTTCAAGGAAGGTGCTGGTGACAAACAAGGCTCCGAGAATTTCTGCCAGCATTCCAAAGAAGAGGGATCGAACAGAATGCCTGAATCCCCGAGTAATACCATTCATATCACACATGGAAAATTTTGCTGATGTTAATCTAAAAATGACTGCTGCCGAACCTCACAGCAATCTGTCAGAAATGCAAGCTCAATTCAGACAAGGGTGTGGAAGGAGGGGTATCACTGCTGATATCAGGTGATCTTGGTTGAAAGCAAAGAATTTTAAAAAAAAAAGTTTGTCTTTTTTTCCCAGGCCTTCACTTGTGTGGACCGTAACAAATTTTGGATAACATTGCGAAGAATGGGAATTCTGGGATATTTAATTGTGCTCCTATGGAACCTATACATAATCCAAGAAGCGTTCTTTCAAACAGGACAGGGTTTAAAACCAAGAAAGATCTGTCTCCAGGTAATATACTATCAACATAGTATGTGCTGAGCAGACAGTCCAAGAAACTGGACTATGGGGTGGAAACGTGACATCAGGATTGGAGGGCACCTCAGTACGCTGAGAAATAAACCCATTGCCATCAAGTCACTTCCAGCTCAGAATGACCCTATCAGACAGAGTAGAACCACCACAGTGTTTCCAAGCCTGTGGGTCTTTATTCCTGCAGATAGCGCGTGAATTCAAACCACTGCCTTTTGATTACCGGGAAGCATTTAATCTGTTGTGTCACCAGGACTCATTGAAGACTCATTAACGACCAACAGTATTCAGGTGACACAACCTTGCTTGCTGAAAGCCTAGAAAACATGAAGCGCTTACTGGTGAAAATAAAAAATTACAGCCTTCAGTGTGGATTGCCCCACAATAGAAAGAGGTGGGGGAAATCCTCACAGCTGGACCTATACACAGAGTGGGGAAAATGATCTTGGAACTTCTGTTTAATTTGGATGTGCATTGGCACCGTGGAAGCAGCAGTCAAGAAATCATAGGAGCTCTTGGTCTTGGCCACAGAAACTAGAGGATGAAGGGAATGTCTTTGTTTGAAAGTGTCACAATAAGACACACCTGTTGTGCCACTGCTCCAAGGCCCACCACCTCAAGAAGTCCACCTGTGGCAAATGTGGCCACCCTGCCAAGAGCAACGAAAGGTACGAGTGGAGTGCCAAGGCTGAAAGGCGAGATGCCACCGGTCCTGGGCATTCGAGGGACCTGAAGAGCGTACACTGCACAGGCAGGCACAGATTCTGTGAAGGGACACACCTAAACCCAGGGGGCAGCTGTGGCAGCATCCGGGTCATCCTGAGAATTTATATAATTCTGCAATAAATATTCTGGTATTAAAATATTTTATTAAAAAAATCAAACGACACACCCATGTTTATCGCGGCTTTGTTCACAATAGCAAAGAGCTGGAAACAACCCAAGTGCCCATCAACAAACGAATGGTAGAGAAGTTGTGGTATATTCACACAACAGAATACTACGCTGCATTGAAAAACAAGGAACTCATGCAATATTATACAAAATGGGTGACCCTGGAGGGCATTATGCTGAGTGAAGTATCTCAGTCACAAAAGGACAAGTACTGCACAGTGCCACTGTTGTAAAATGGGACTGACGAAGGGTTTGAGGGAAGACTGAGAAAGAAGGGATCAATAATGTATACTGCATTGAAACAGATGAGGGAGAGAATGGTTTAAAATGGATATATGATTAGGTATTATTGTCATGACAGGAGTCCAGAATGAAGGCTGCATAGTGGAATGGACTTGGGGAGACAGATTGTATAACAATGAAAGCATTTTTCTTTTACTTTTCAAAGAAAAGAACCATCTGGAGGGGAGGGTTGGGCAGGGAGAAAAGTGCAACAATGAATGAATGGAAATCCAGAATCTCTGTAAATTTTCATTTAAATTCATAATAATAATAATAAATTTTTAAAAATCAAATGATGTATCTATTGCATTAGGTGAGAGTCTCAAGCGGAGATGTTACTTTGAGAACCAGCATGCTTTTAATTGTTTCATGTGCTTTTGAAAGCTGGACAGTGAGTGAGGACCGGAAGAACTGATGCTGTGACGTTTTGTGTTGGTGAAGAATCTGAGTGCACTGTGAGCTGCCGGAACAACGTACAGATCTGTTTTGGGAGAAACGCAGCCAGAATGCTCCTTGCCGAGAGGGTGGGGACACTGCATTTCATGTACTGTGGACATGTTACCAAGGGGGGAGGACCAGTCCCTGAAGAACAGAATCATCCTGGGGAAATAGGAGGTCACCGGAAACGAGGAAGGACCATTCACCAGGATGGGTTGACCGCAGTGGCTGCCATAGTGGTCTCAAACCTGACAACTCTTGTGAGGAGGCTGCACACCGGCCGAGCAGGGTTTGAGGCATTCATTCAGCCCTGGACGTGGGGCTGCTGGGAGTTGGAACCGGGAGCTAAGACGACAGTGATAGTGGGCTCTATCTGCTTACCTGGCAAAGTCATTTATCAGCAGAACCACCACCACACAAATGTCTCAGCCTTGCACCTCAACCAGCTTCCTGGCCTTCCTGAGCTCGCCGGTTCAGAAACACACACGTACACACCCCCTTGGAAACCTTTGCAGCCTCAAAACACAGAGCCATCTTGGGCCGTGTTTTCCCTCCTCTCACCGCACAGTCCCAGGCTCTGCCAAATAGCCAGTTCTGGGAAGGGCGTATCAGGGATATTGCCCGTTAACCTTTTTGAATCTCAGTTTGTGAAGATTGCCTTTTCTTACTTCTTTGTGCTCCTGTGCCGTAAGAGCAGGCAATGTAGAAAGATGCCATGACTGTCTTTTTTCCCTCCCCATTCAGGTCCTGGTGCAGCCTCAGATTATCAAGACAGATTCCCTTGTTTTGACCACACTGAAGACAGATGGCAGCCCCGTCATGGCCGCGGTCCAGAACCCTGCCCTCACCGCCCTCACCACCCCCATCCAGACAACCGCTCTGCAAGTCCCAGTGAGCAGCCTGCCCCCCGCCCAGCCTTTGTTAGAGGGTGACACCAGGCCACGTGCCCCGCAGGGGTGTTGGCAGTGCTGAGCAGCTTTGTCATCACCCACTTTGAGCTTCTGTGTTTTTCTCCTTTGAAGAAGTACCACCAGTGTGTGTGTGACATGGGAGTGTGGGGGCCCAGAAAGGGCGGGGGGATATGAACCCCAGTTCCTGGGCAGCAGCTGCGTCCAGGGCCCCCTGCCTGTTAGCTCCTGCTGGTGGAGGTTGGGCTTCGGAAGGGCACCAGGCAGAGAGGCGTTCTGAGGTGGGGGACACAGGAGACACCCGTTCTTCAGCTGGAGGTTCTCTGCCATTTTCAGCCATGTGTGGTGAGCCTCTGGGAGAGAAAGAAACGTGCGAAAACCAGACCCTTCACCGCTGACTTGATTCCAGTTCCTAATGATTGTATAGGGGAAAAGAGTTTGAAAGCACTCCCTTTATTCATAGAAGCCAAAATCTGGATAGAACCCAAATGTCTGTCAGCAGGAGACAGAGAAACAAATTATGATGTATTCACAGAACAGAATTAACAGCCAGCACTTAGTAGAGAACTATTTATCTATACAGTAGCATGGAAATCACATGGGTGTACCCTGACTGAAGCGAGTAGTGCAGGAGAACCTCACATAAAAGAGTGTGTGCTAACGATTCCATTTCTGTGAAGTAAAAGGCTGTACCAAGTCAGAGCAGTGCTTGGAGCCCAGAGATGGGGAGAGGGGCTTAGCGTGTGTAGGGGGTCATCCAGTGTGTACCTTCATAACAGCTTCTCGTGCTGGATGTGCCGTATTTCTGTGCTTCTGTTAGTGTAAATTATCTCCTGCTGGTTGGTGGTAGAGTCAGCTAAAAAACAAAGAGCGTGGATTAACGGTGACTGCAGGAGTGGGCTCAAACCTAGCACCGCCTTTGAGGATGGTGCAGGACAGCAGTGTTTCCTTCTGTCATGCGTGGGCTGCTGTGAGTCAAAACCAATCTGACAGCACCTCACACAACAGAAATGTAGGGAACTCTTGTGGCTTAGTGGTAAGAAGTTGCATTGCCAGCCGAAAAGCATGTAGTTCGAATCCACCAACTGCTCTCTGCAAGAAAAAGATTGGCAGTCTCCTCTCCCCTGACATACTGCCTCTAAAAAGCCACTGAAGGGTCAGCCGTGAATCACTTCCACCCTGAAAGTATATAGCAACAGCTGTCAGGATGCACAACATTCTCCTTGTTTGTTGTCCGTTTGAGAATTAAGGCCATTTATTAAAGAAACTAAAACTAAAATTAGTAAAAACAGAAGCAAGTAGAGTTGAAGACAACACACGTCGCCAGTGTGTTGGCCAGGGAGCTCTGCTGGCAGAGTCTCTAAGAGCGTTGGGCTGCTGATACAAAGGCCATATCTCTGAGAGTTCGGATCCACCAGCAGCTACTTGGGAGAAAGAAGGGGAATCTTCTCCCATGGGAGGTACAGTTATGAGTCAAAGGCAGCGAGCGGGTGGGATGTGTTGGCTCGTGTATCTAATACAGTTGTCCTGACTAAGAGGGTTCTGCCAAGTGTCAGCAGGAGAAAATGTCCCGGTACCTGGTGAGAGGTGCTGGACACTTTGACAGCAGAGGGAAGTCCTGTGACTTGTTTCTGGCACGTCTCCAGCCCAGTTAAGAAAGACATTGAGATGTTAACCATATTGTGTCATTTTCTAAGAGCAGTTCTGGAAGGGAGCTAGTGGCTGGAGACTTCGTGGGCCTGGCTGACCTCGGGAAGGGCCTCCGGCTGTGGAGAACATTGCCAAGAGACGCCGAGGGGCGGGTGGGCAGGGTGTGTTAAGTGGTTACTCAGTCACCTGACGAGATCATTCTGTCCCTGTGCCACTTCTAGACCCTGGTGGGCAGCAATGGGACCATCCTGACCACAATGCCTGTGATGATGGGGCAAGAGAAAGTGCCCATTAAGCAAGTGCCGGGCGGAATCAAGCAGCTGGAGCCCCCAAAGGAAGGAGAAAGACGGACAACACACAACATCATTGAGAAGCGGTACCGCTCCTCCATCAATGACAAAATCATCGAGTTGAAGGACCTAGTCATGGGCACAGATGCCAAGGTAAATGCCAAGCAGAACAATGCCCACACCCCACCTTCTGCTTGTCTTTGCTGTGGGTGCATCCCAGGTCCCGGTCGTCTAGAGGTGCTTCCTTAATAACCGTGTTTGTCAAGGTTGTAAACTGTTGACTGAAGAGAAGGTCTGCCTGGACCTTTGACGCTGCTCTTGTCGTGGGCCCCAGAGTCACAGGCCGAGAGAGCCGATGGCACCTCTGGGGGTCAGGTTCAGTGACGTCCGGGCGTGGCTGTTTTAAGAAGGGAGCTAGGAAGTGGAAATTGGGTCTTCGGCCAGTAACAGTAGAGAAAGTTGATTTCCACATATTTCCAGTGTGCCTCTGGCCCATGAGGAGAGGTTTAACTCATCTTTTTACCTTGACCCTCTGTTTTTAAAGAATTGTATTATTTTCCGTGTAGCTTAAAAATCTTAAAGGTACTGATGTACCTTTCCTTAAGCTAGTCATCTGAGGTTGCTCTGCTGTTAGTTCTTGGTTTTCTTTACCTTTGATTTGGAGACAGTGTTATCCTAAAGGATTGGTAGCTGATGTATTTTTATGGATTGTCACTCTATCCAGAGGAGCCCTGGTAGTGCCAGTGTTAAAGCCTGTGGCTACATTGAAAGGTTGACAGTTCGAACCCACCATCTGTTCTGTGGAAGAAAGATGTGGCAGGGCCCCTAGCACGTTTGCTGCCTTGGAAACACTGGGTTTGATGAGCTGGTGCCCACTCCATCCTAAAGGGCCACTTCAAGCTGGAATCAACTTGGGATTTTGTGGGACAGACTCGCATTTCCCACTCATTCTCCCCATGTTAACGGGGGAGGTGAATTGCAGAAATACTTGGTAATGACACGGTCCGTCCCCTGCTGCAGGGCCAGGCTGTCCACCTGACCTGAGGACCAGTGGCCGCAATGCTCCTGGCCTTACAGGGGTTTCTGCCTCTCTCCCTTCCCAGATGCACAAGTCTGGCGTTCTCAGGAAAGCCATTGACTACATCAAGTACTTGCAGCAGGTCAATCATAAACTACGGCAGGAGAACATGGTGCTGAAGCTGGCCAATCAGAAAAACAGTGAGTGAGCACATGGAGGACAGGGCCACCCTGTCCACTGCAGCATGAACCCATGCTGGACCCAGGGCAACAGATGCAAAGGTGCCCTCGAGTGGAGCAGGGATGGAGGCCACACACACCCCGCTGGCCTGGCCCTAGCCTGTCCTTGGCCTTCATCTGGCCCTCACTCAGCCCTGGCTGGGCTCTATAAACCTAGCTACTTACCAAGTGGGTTTCTTTGCAGAGCTCTTGAAGGGCATCGACCTAGGCAGCCTAGTGGACAATGACATGGACCTGAAGATTGATGACTTTAATCAGAATGTCCTCCTGATGTCACCTCCAGACTCAGACTCAGGGTCCCAAGCCGGCTTCTCCCCCTACTCCATTGACTCTGAGCCGGGCAGTCCTTTGCTGGACGACGCAAAGGTAGGTGCTCTGGAAATTTGTGGCTCCCAGCGTGTCTCCAGCTTCCCTAGGAAACTGGAGCAGCCACAGTCCGGGCTGAGCAGGCTGCTGGGAAGAGCGGGGCTTTGTGAAATTGCTGCGTCCTGGAGAATTAGGAATGAGAACACAGACCCTGGGGGAGGCCAGCCCTTAGTTTTAACTGATTCTCACTGAAAAGGCCCATCAGAGAGGAATAAGAGGCAGACCAGAACGGACACGCAGCAGCTGTGGGCGCTGGGAGTTGCCAGAGGCACCTCATTACGTCCTCTGTCCATAATGCGCCTGGCAAGACCACTTTGTGGGCTTGATCAGTTGGTGCAGAGCAGGGCTGCTTCTGGGTCTTCTTTCCGGAAATGGCTACAGTTTGCAGTCACAGATAAGATGCAAGCCAAGTGTCTTTTAGAGTGAAAGCCCCTGGCAATTGTGGTTTAATGGAGTTAGTTAAGAGATTGATGGCCTGATGATTTTCTGGGGAGACCGCTGGGGCCTGTACATACATACTGTGACACAGGAGATTTCTGGCTGCTAGTGTCTGTGTCTCACCCAGCTGTTTATTGTGAGCACTTACTGAATCTTACTAAGGAGGCTTTGCTTGGGAAACATTTTATCAGCATTCCCCTGTTGAGTAACACCAAGCCACGTGGCTCATCAGTACCATCAGTGGTCAGCGGGGCTTCTGGAGTCTGTGGGTGGCCCAGATGGTTAATCGCCGGACTCCTGGCTGGAAAGTAGAAGTTCCAGATCTGTGCAGATGTGCCTCAGAAGAAAGGCTTGGCAGTCTGCTTGCCCAGGGTCCCAGCCTTGAAACCCCACAGAGCGTGTCACCTTAAATCGACTACCCCCACCAATCAAGAGCAGCAACAGAGGCATCAGAAGGAATTGGCCGATGGTTTTTAAACTGCTGGGAAGGAATGGGGTAGCACCAGCCCCAACCATCGTCTCCCGCTACTGTGGGATCCCAGAGAGGGGAGGGAGGGAGGGTCTCTGCCTTTGCTTCTCCAGCCCTCAAAGTGGGGACCTGAGGGCAGCGTTAGATCCACTTGAGTAAGGTAAATGTATAAGCCATGAAATGTACGTGTTTTAAATGTACAGTATGGGATGTCTTGACAAATCCCAACACCTGCAACTATCTCTCAGGAGTAGGGAGGTGTGTAACTTATTGGACTGCTAGCCAAAAGATCAGCAGTTTGAAACCACCAGCCACTGACAAAGTTGAACACTCTTCCTGTAAAGATTGTTGGCCCCAGAAGCCCGGGGAGGCCGACTCAGCAGCCCAGTTTTATTTGGTGACTGTCACTCCGCTCAACATGTGGAACACGTCCGTCACCCCAAAATGCACCTTAGTGCATTGGGGACTGAGGCGGACCTGCGTGTGCTGGGAGGAGGCGTTGAATTTGTGGAAGTGGACACCGACCGTGTGTTCTCTCCTGAGCCAGAGCTCCGCTGTGGCAGGAAGCCTCCCACTGAGGGCAGGAGGGCAGCTCCCGTGTCATACGCGCTTGTGAACTGTGGGCTTGGCTTCCGCTTGGTTTATTCCTGACTTGACAGCTTTGGATTTCAATCTCACAGTCTGTCCCCAATACACATAAACAGGATGTGCCGTCCGAGCCCACCCCATGCTCACGTCCACCCTGTTTCTGTCCTCAGGTCAAGGACGAGCCAGACTCGCCGCCTGTGGCACTGGGCATGGTGGACCGCTCGCGAATCCTGCTGTGTTTTCTCACTTTCCTGTGTCTCTCCTTCAATCCCCTGACATCTCTGCTGCAATGGCGAGGGGCCCGGGACCCCGACCAGCACCCCTATACGGGCTCAGGCCGCAGCATCCTGTCCTTTGAGTCAGGTGGGTGGGGAACCACGATGGCTGTTCCCCAGCACCCCAGGGCTCTTGCAGTGACTGCATACGCTGGCTTCTGATGCTCAGTGTGGGAAGTGAGGAGATCACAAATCTAATCAGGAAGAGCAGAGCAGACCAGCAACCCACCCTGCCGTCACCACTGGGCTCGGGGGGCGGGGGCCTGAGCTGTCAGCCACGTCCTCGGGACCTCTGGGGTGCGGCTAGAGTGTGTACAGTACTCCTGCTCGGGGCCCAGTCAGCTGCCCGCAGGCCTGGGCGCCCAGGAGGCCCCGCCCCTCACCAGATGCCCCCTTTAGGCTCTGGGGGCTGGTTTGACTGGATGATGCCAACGCTCCTCCTGTGGCTCGTCAACGGCGTGGTCGTCCTGAGCGTCTTGGTGAAGCTGCTGGTCCACGGCGAGCCGGTGATCCCACCACACTCTCGCTCGTCTGTCACCTTCTGGAGACATAGGAAGCAAGCGGACCTGGACCTCGCTCGGGTGAGCTCGGGTTACCTTCCATTCCGCCCCAGGCTCAGCCCCACACTCGACTCCGCGTGTGCTGGGTGCTGTGGGAGCTGCTGTCTCAGCAGCTTGGGGGAGCCCGGAGGACGAAGAGAGCGGTAACTCCAGGACCCAGGAAGGTGCTGCAGTCTGTGGTGTGAGGGCTGTGGGTAGAGCGTGAGGTGGAAGAGATGCATTCCGGCTGAGAGGGCCGGAGGGGCTGTGTAGGGGGTCGGGGAGCCGGGTGGTCACTCAGCAGGGAAGAGCCAAAGGTTGAGGCGTTCTCCTGGGTAGGCAGTGAGGGGGTGCCTGGGCAGGAGCCAGCAAGGCCCACCCGCCGTGGGTATAGATGAAGGTGCTGCTTCTGGTAGCCCACCTTCCCTTGTCAGCTCCTGTGTCAGTTAAGGAAACAGCACAGGTAGTAGGCTCACAGCATGACAGGGCAGAGAGGAGAGCCGACTCCTGACCAAGACCACAGATCCCGAGTCCTCCAGCCCTCGGGATTACTGGTAGATCAGGTCTTTAGCATTCCCTGCTGAGCTCTGCTAGAGACCTCTCTCCAGGCTGGCCAAGTTCTAGTTCCTGGGTTAGGGTAGGTGAGCCGTGAGATTGTGTAAAACCAGGCACCCAGGTGACCTGAGTCAGGTCAGGGGTGAGGCCTGAGAATCTGCACCTTCAGCCGGTTCCCTGGAGATGTCGGTGCTCCTGTCCACACACATTAGGTGAGCACCTAGCGTCATCTAGCTCCTCCTCGTAGTCTGTCTGTGTCACCACCTCCATGTAAAAGCCACTGAAATACAATCCTGTTTGCTCAAAGACGGACAACCTAGCACCATCCCAGCAGAATGAGAGCTGATGGGGAAAGCCACGCCAGTCAGCTGTGGTACACTCTGAGGGGGAGGTCACTAGGATTTCTGCTTTCTTCTTTGTAGCTTTCTGAAATTTCACAGGTTTTTCTCAAGGAGCGTGTTTTAACTCTGAAGATGGTGGGTTAGCGAAATAAAAGTTTTTTATTATAAATGAATCTTACCCAGTCCTGACACCACATTCCTTCTCATAACGACCAGCCCCCCAAATTTTCTGTTCCGCATATATAAAACGTGTGGAGAAAGGATGCACTGCTGATGCACTTCTTTCCTGATTTTGAGCCATGCAGTGTTTCCTTGCTCTGTTTTAATTACTATCTCCTCCTCCATGTATAGGTTTCTCATGAGCACAGTCAGGTGCTCTGGGATTCCCATTCTTCTCAAGGTTAGCCACATTTGGTGGTTCTCACAGTCAGTGAAACACAGGCATTCCCCCAGTACACTCTGCTTTCAGCCAAGATCCAACTGACATTTGCAGTGATGTCCCTAGTGCCGTGACCTCTTCTAAATCCAGCCTTAATTTCTGGTAGTTCTCTGTCAATATACTATTCCAGTCGTTTTTGGATGTTCTTCAGCAGGAATTTACTTGCATGTGGTATTAGTGATAATTCGATAATTTCCACCTTTGCCACAACGTTACTTGCTGAAACTGAGGAGGGCCTGAAGCATTTACTGCAGAGAGTCAAGAGCTGTAGTCTCAGGTTTGACTCCCAGCGTGGGAACCAAAAATAAAAAGAGCTGTAGTCTACAGTATGAATTGAAGCTCAATATTAAGAAAATGGAGATTCTCACCATTGGGCCAATTGGTAGCATCATGATAAACAGAAAAGAGATTGAGATTATTAACGCTTTCAGCTTGCTTGGTTTTAGTCAGCACTCTTGGCACTAGAAATAAGGAAATCAGAAGACAAATTGCATTAGTAAAATCTGCCGTAAGGATCTCTAGAGTGCTGGAGAGTAAGGATGTCCGTCTACAGACTAGGGTGTGCCTGCTCCATGCCATGGCCTTCACAGTTACCTCTTAGGCATCAATGAGCTGGACAGTGACCAGAGAGGACAGAATAATTAATATCTTTGGGTTGTGGTGCTGGAGAAGAAGATTGAACATATGTATTATAGATTGCCAAGAGAACAAGAATCTGTCCTGGAAAGGGTGAAACCACCTTTCTCCTTGGAGACAAGATTTTTAATGCTCCATTTCATATACTTTGAGCATGCTGCTAGGAAGGAACAGTCTTTGGAGAAGGACATCATACTTGGAAGGGTGGCGGGACACTGGGGTAATGGGGGTAGATGTGTCAGAGACAGTGAGATTGGCCCAGGATAGAGCAGGGTTCAGAGCTACTGTGCACAGGGTCACTGTGAGTCCTGATCAACTTGATGGCACATGACAACAACATTATAAATGAAGTGAAAAATGCTTGGCTTATTGCCTCCATGATCAACTGACCCCTTGCCACAAGAATTGAATGATTTGATCAAAGATTCTGTAGAGAAATCGTAATCAAATGGAGGGGAAATGCAAACTGCCTACATGGGAACAAACTCAAAACCCAGGTAGAAACCTTCAGGCAGGGGGTTTGTTAGTGGGTGAGGGTGAGGAGGGTTGCACAACTCGAGAGTATTCTGAATGTCACTGGCCTGTGGCGGTTGCACTTGTTGAATTGGTGTAAGCTCTCCTGAGCACAGTCTCAACAGCAAAAAGAAAAAGAGCTCACACAGTAAGACCCTGACGATGTCACTGCTTTCTAGGGGGATTTTGCAGCTGCTGCCACCAACCTCCAGACCTGCCTGTTGGTGCTGGGCCGGGCACTGCCCACCTCACGCCTGGACCTGGCCTGCAGCCTGTCCTGGAACGTGATCCGCTATAGCCTGCAGAAGCTGCGTCTGGTGCGCTGGCTTCTCAAGAAGGTCTTCCAGCGCCGCCGGGCTGCCCCAGCCACCACAGCGGGCTTCGAGGACGAAGCCAAGACCAGCGCCCGCGACGCAGCCCTGGCCTACCACCGGCTGCACCAGCTGCGTATCACAGGTGAGCGCCTCCACACCTGGCTCGCCGTGGGCTCGTGCCGTCTCACCACCTTGCTGAGGTTTGTAGCCGAGACCCTTGAGAGTGTCAGACACCTCCTCCTGGGCCACGCTGGGGGACTTGTTCCTGAGGAATTGATGGCTCTTTCGAGCCGATGTGAATTATTTTATTCTGTAACACTCAACATTACAGCAGAGCAGACAAAAGTTTCTGTTCAAATAGGAAGAATTACAGGCCCAGATGTTTGAGACAGAAGGAACAATCCGGTGCAGGAAGAAGACTCGTGCAAGTTTTCAGAAGGACTTTGTGGGGAGGACAAGTCTGGGCTCTGCATGGAGGACAGAGCGAGGGCAGGGACCATCTGGATCCAGTGAGGAAACAGGCCAGGGGACAGAGTGACCATGATCCAAGCTATGCTTCAGTGTTTAGAAGGTTCCCTGAAGGCAAGTGGAGCAGGAAATGGAGAGGTTGGGGCGTCCAGGAGATGAAGTAAAAGTTGCTACAGACTTGAAAGTGAAGGATTCAAAGGGAGATTGGAAGGGGATCAGTAGCGTTTAGGAACACACACCCCCTCTGGATGTGACAGGTGTGGAAATAAGGACACACTGGTGCCACCCACAGGGGTGAGAGAGGAGACGGAGAGCGGGTGTCCAGAAGAAAGAACACCACGGGGCGGGGGGACAGTCAGCAGCAGGCGGCCATGCACGCAGGGTCTCCAGAGCAGTCAGGATTCTCACTTACAGATGAGCCTGGAAGCCGGCTGGCAGAGGATAAAGAGCGGCCCAGAGCATCTGGAAGAACGAGTTGTTGCCGACAAGTTTTCAAATTGGAATTAACTCATAGAACCAACTCCTAGCTGACCCTCCAGCAGGTTTTCAGAAAAGGCTGAAAATCACATGGGAGGAGATTGTCCATCTTTCTCCAACGGAGCAGATGGTGTATTCAGACCCTCTGCCTTTGGGTTAACAGCTCAACTTCTTAACCCCTGGGCCACCAGAGCTCCTCTGGAAGAGCACTGATGACATTCTAGGGGCCCTCAGAAGAGCAAGTGAGGGGTCAGAGGCAACAGGAACAGAGAGGGTTCCAGAAGGGAGGTTTCTGCTGGGCAGTCCAGTATGGTGAGGGTCAGTCGGAGGATTTGGTAAAGGACAGTGTGGAGGCCTGGGAAGAGCCTCATCATGGAAGTGGAGCTGAGGTTTCTGGGAAGATGAAAGGCTAGGAAGTCTGAGGGTGCAGTCTCCCAGGGCTGTGTGACCCCAGAGCTCGTACGTGGTCTTTGGTCTGGAGGGGACTGCATAGGAGCAAGGAGCGGAGGGTCCATCAACGCTGGTTGCCTGCTTGGCCTCCACAGGGAAACTGCCTGTGGGCTCCGCCTGTTCGGACGTGCACATGGCGCTGTGTGCTGTCAACCTGGCCGAGTGCGCTGAGGAGAAGATCCCGCCAAGCACGCTGGTCGAGATCCACCTGACCACCGCCATGGGGCTGCAGACACGCTGCGGAGGCCGCCTGGGCTTCCTGGCCGTAAGTACCCTCCCGCGCTGCTCACATGCCCTCGAGACCGGGCCACCCATGGGTGCTGACCACAGAGGCAGCAGTCAGCCCCTTCGCAGGTACTTCCCTGTGAACAGGCCAGCCTCCGTGGTCCGTCCAGTGAGCTGACTCAGTGCAGAGCAGTTAGTGCCCTGAGGGGAGAGCTGGTCACGTAGGCAACCACCCGTAACTCCTCCCCTGCTCATGTGGCCTTAGAGTTCCACGCCCTGGTCGTCTCTGAGTCCTGTTGTTCACTGTGTGTCCCTTTGATGGCCTCTGCACTGTCGGTGCCCGTCCAGGGAGCTTGGGTCATGGAGTGGGAGCTGCCAGAGGGCTGGCCGCACACCAGGCCCAGGGATTGGCCATTGCCTAATCCGCTCGTCCACCCAGGGGACCCCTTCTCTGCAGACGTGGACATGTTTTATCCTGGCTGCTGTTTTAGGTGACTGGGTACAGCAGATGGCATTCATTTTCACATTTCTGTTGCAGTGGTAATAAAGTGGGTAGAAGAAAGGCCCATGTCCTGCGAGCATACTGTGTGTTTCCATATTATAGCCTGAACATAGAGGTTACGAGTTAACAACACACACTGGGGGCCACTCAAGTGAGCCCATAACACCAGCACCCCCAGAGACCTCCTTTAGCTTCCCTCCCTCTCGTCACTCCCAGTACCCCACCTTCCAGTGGTAGACACCGTTGTGAATTCTGTCTCCAAAGATTAATGCCTGTTGTTTCTTATTTTTGTAAACTTTTATTGACGGAGGGACCTTACATAGAGAAGGAAGTTCTGGTGGTAAGGAGCTGCACTGCGAACCTGAAGGCCTGCTGTTCGAATCCACCAGCTTCTCCGCGGGAGGAGTATGAGCAGTCGTGTCCCGTGTGATTAACTGCCTCTGAAAATCACTGGAGGGTCAGCTATGAGCCAGTTCCATCTCAGCAGCACACAACATACATAAATACACACATAGAAAAAAGTATGCAGTATGTCCAGTCCATGGGTCTCCACAGTGAGCACATTACACAGCCAGCAGCCACAGCGTATCCAGAGGGAGCCCCAGGCTACATCTGGACCTTTGCACCCCACCCCACACCCCCCAAGCAGCCTTGGGTAAGCACCTGGAAGCTTTTCATCTATTTAACCTTTAAATCAAGGTGGATCACACAGCGTCTGGCTTCATTCACTCAATGGTACGTGTAAGATTCGATGCTGTGTGTCGTTCCAGATCATTCCTTCTCAGTCTTCTACGGGATTCCAGTGATTAAACTATTGCAACTGGACCTTTGGTCCTGGTTTGGCTTCTTGGAATAGTGCTGGGTGCACATATCATCTGGAGAACACGTGACCACTCTTATGTGGAGTGCGTACCTACGATGGTATCACTGAGTCAGTGTTTGCGCTGGTAATAGATGTTGCCTCGGATGTTTTCAGAGTGGTTGTACCAATTCCCAGCGCACCAGTGGCCTGGTGTGTCAGTTCCAGGTGTTGCACAGCCTCCTCAGCACGTGTTAACATCAGGTTTTGTCCTGTGACCTTCACAGTAGCTCATTGTGGCTTTGGATTCATTTCCTCTGGTCATTGGTGACATGATTGAATGCATAACTTCCCGTAAGATGATCAGGCATTTGGGTGGTCTCAGTTGTAGAAAACCTATTCCGGTCTTTCTCTTTTTGGTCATATTGGTTTTGTTTGTTTGTTTTGTTACTTAATTTAAAGCCTCTTTTCCTAATTGGCAGGAGTTATTTACAACTCCTAAACATGGATGTGTGTTGGACATGCTTTGCAAGCCTCTCCCTCTCTGCAGTTTGCCTCCTCTCTCTTTCTCGCTCGCTCTCTGTAGTGTTTATTGAGGAGCACAGAGAGAAAAAAAAGTTCTCCATTTTCCTGAAATCCAGAGTCTTTTCCTTCTAGCCTCACAGATCTTGTTCATTCAGTCTGCGTTCCCACCTCCTCCAAGCTTGATCTTTTCCTTTTCTTGTCAAGGTCCGTAATCCACCTGGACTTGAGCTGCATGAGTTGGAGATCAGGTAACCACCTGACCTCAAATGTGTGGTTGTGAACACTGGCCGTTCCCCGCCGTTTGGGGTGGCACTTCTTCCACGAAGCCCATGTCAGTGTGTGGCGGGCTACATACATACAGGATACACCTCAGACGGCCGGCCTTCTTGGTGTGCCCTCGTGCCCCGGCTTCAGTGACTGAGCACTGTCTCACCCTCCCACATGAGACAAGTCTAGAATTGTCTCATCCTCCCAGAAGTCTCCTGGGGCTGACCGTCCTTAGTGCTTTCTCAGGGATTCTGAGGGTCCCAAGAGTGAAAAACCGGTTCTCTTTCAGCTGTCCCCAGAGCTCCCTGGAAAATACTTGGTTTGCCTGAAAATAAATATTTGGCAAACAGTTTGATGTTTATGCCTCAGAAGATTATTTTCTCCTTAAATTAGCGTGTGTACATAACTTTTTAAATGTAAAAAGAAAACCACTTGCTTTTTTCAAAGTGATCGTGAATATCCTAGACACCGTTGTCATCCTCGATAGCCTTCAGAGGCCCTGGCCACTCCAGCGTATGTAAATACCAATGATTGGCCCAGTTCTCTGCTGGGGACGTTAGCGGTTATTCCCTTATTTGCATCGTAGATCACATGATTATCTGACTCAGGGTGGCTGGTGCCCTTCATCTCAGCCTGCTAATGCCTAGAGTGTTCATCTTTAGGTGTTCCTTTTTTCCTCCCCCCCCCCCTCAACTTGCAGTTTTTGTGTGACAGCTGCTCAGAGATTTATCCCTTTCTCCATACTTGTTCAATCTATATGCTGAACAGATCATTCAAGAAGCTGGACTTTGTGACGAGGGATGTAGTATCAGGATTGGAAGAAGACTCGTCTGCAACCTGCAGTATGCAGATAACACAACTTTGCTTGCTGAAAGTGAGGAGGGCTTGAAGCACTTGTAGAAGATCATGGACTGTAGCCTTCAATATGGATTACATCTCATCATCAAGAAAAGAAAAATTCCTACCGCTGCACTGATTTCAGCGTGAAGAAAACAAAGATTCTCCCCACTGGGCCAGTAGGCATCATCATGATAGATGGAAAAAACATTAAAGTTGTCAAATTATTTTATCTACTTGGATTCATAGTCAACAGCATCAGTACCGGCAGTCAAGAAATCAAAAGGTGTATTGTTACACTGGGAAAGTCTGCTATCAGGGACCTCTCCAAAGTACTGAAGAGCATTGATAACAGCTTAAACACTAAAGTGCACTTGATTCAAGCCATATTCTTCTCACTCACCGGCCATGCATCAGAGAGCTGAACAGTGAATCAGGATGAACAAGAAAAATCGATGCTTTTGAGTTTTGGTGTTGGAGAAGAACATCCCATGGACAGCCAAAAGAACAAACAAGACATGTCCAGAAGTGTCATGGAGAAAGCACAATCAGAGTGCAAGGATGGTGAAGCCTCCTCATGTACTTTGGGCATGTGTTGGCTAAGAAAGGTTATTCCTTGGAAAGGGACATCATGCTTGGACAGGTCAACGAAAGAGGAAGACTCTCAACAAGATGGATTGACACAATGACTGCAGCAATGGGCTCAGGTGTGTCAGAACATGAGGACGGCACAGGGCAGGACAGGGTTCAGATCCGTCGTTCATAGGTTTGCTGTGAGTTGTACTCAACTTGATGGCAACTGACACCGCTACCACTGTCTATTCTACACTGTGTGTGGTCTCCCCTCGGGCAAGTGTTTCTCCAGGCCACACCCTGGAAATAGTGATGTTCCGTCAAAAGATGGCAATGCTTGGAACTTACTGGTCTCAGTAGGGAAGGCAAAGGTAACTGCCATTGCTCCGAAAGTAGCTTCCTCTCTTAGAGAAAAAGAAGTGCTGGGTTGATGAATGAGCCATCACGAGTGTGACACACAAAACTAAAAGCAGAATTTTTTTCCCTCTCACTCGTTTTTTGTTTTGTTTTGTTTTTAATTTTATTGAGATTTTATTGTAAGTTTATAAAGAACTTGGATTTCCATTCATTCATTGTTGCACATTTTCCCCCCTGCCCCCCTCTCCCCAGTTATCTTTTATCTTTGGGGAAAAAAAGTTCTTTCATTGTTGTACAGTCGTCATCCCGTCACCCCCCCACCCCAGACAACTTTACTATGCATCTCTTATTCTGTACTCATGTCATACCAATAATACCTAATCATATGTTCCTTTTATACAGTTCTCTCCCTCATCTGTTTCAATGCTGTGTACATTATTTATCCCCTCTTAGTTTCCCCACAACCCCCATGTCGGTCCTGTTTTACAACAGTGGCATTATGCAGTATTTGTCCTCTTGTGACTGAGATATTTCACTCAGCATAATGTCACCCATTTTGTATAATATGTCATGAGTTCCTTGTTTTTCTGTGCTGTATAGTATTCCATTGGGTGAATATACCACCGCTTCTCTATCCATTCATTTGTTGATGGGCACTTGGGTTGTTTCCAGCTCTTTGCTATTGTGAACAAAGCCGCAATTAAATATATATCTGCACATACCTGCTTGGGTTTCTTTAGGGTAAATTCCCACTAGTGGAATTGCTGAGATTTCTATTTCCAACTCCAACTTTTTAAGAAAGTGCCACACAGGCTTCCACAGTGGTTGCACCATTTTACACTCCCACCAACAGTGAATAAGGGTTCCAGTTTCTCCACAACCTCGTCAGCATACGTTGTTTGCTGCTCTGTTGAATTTTGCTATTCTGACTGGGGTGAGATGATATCTCATGGTTGTTTTGATTTACATCTCTCTTAGAGCTAGGGATTTTGAGCATTTCTTCGTGTGTTTGTTGGCCATCTGAATGTCTTCTTTGGTTAAGTGTCAGTTCAGAGCTTGTGCCCAATTTGTGATTGGGTTGTTTATCTTGTGTGACGCCCCCCTCATTCTTAAATATCCACATCCACGCTTGTCAGGTCTGTTCCAGCCCGTAGGACCCTCCACCAAGTTTCTGAGGCTG